ACGTTGTACCACACTTTCATTGGTCAATGCTTGACGAAAAATTGCCCACTGTTTTATTACAGCCACTTGATTCCTATTAGAGCTGGACATTAATTAGCTTAGCAAGATTTAGGTTAATAGACTTTGTATAAGATTTCCATGTCGCTTTTATATAGAGTGACTACCGTTATTTAATTGTATAGATTGAAGTCCTTCAGCAGTGGCCTGGCTCGTCCCAATATTATTGCCGTCCTGCATATCATGTGACAGTTCCAAGACTTTCGATACTAGCATTTACACCTAAATGCTACGGCTTCTTTTTCGAAAGTTAAGTCTGGACTTTTGTCCCCACAACTTTAGCCTCGAGCTAAGAATACTGTTTGATATTGCCGAATAATACTTAGCTGCGTTTGCATTCAGTTTTAGTTTATTTTTCTTAATAATGCAATCTCTGAGTTCTGGTGGTGCCTTTTTCTTTTGTGTCTCATTGTATATTTAAGGATTTCTATTTCCGTAAACATTATGCTGCGTGGATTGCAAATGACTGTCTTATGCCATTTAATTCATGGAGTTAGATGAAATCATTGCGAACTATCATCTTATGTGCATATTATTTTTCTATAATTTAATTTTTATCAGAATCTTACCTTATTTTTATATTATAACAATTAATTTTTTTAGATCTCCAAACCGTCAACATAACTCTTCGTATCTTGTTTAGGCCTCAGCCGGACTTACTCCCCCGAATTTATTCCAATCTTGGTGTTGACTTTGATGAGCGAGTTCTCCCTTCTATCACAACTGAGGTTCTTAAAGCAGTTGTGGCTCAATTCGATGCCAGTGAACTGATAACCCAACGTGAGCTTGTGAGTCAGCGAGTCAATGAATATTTGACTGAGCGGGCGTCTTCATTTGGAATTCTTCTAGATGACATCTCTTTAGTGAGTTGGATTTCCTGGTTTTAAGTCTTCTGATTTATTTACCCAGTGCGGATTGTTACTATTCATTCATTTTAAATTTAGACTCACTTGTCCTTTGGAAAAGAATTCTCAGATGCCGTTGAGGCTAAACAGGTTGCGCAGCAAGAAGCGGAGCGTGCACGCTTTCTCGTTGAGAAGGTAAAATCCAATTTTCTGTCTTGACATTTTGTCTCTTGCCTCTTTATCCTTCTACACAATTTTATTTAAACATCAATATCCAACCTCGTTAGCCCCATTTAGTTGAGATCCTCGTGATCATAACTACAGATCCCTTAAAACAATGCTACGAATTTTTTATTGTATTGAAAGGAGGTTAGTGATCATTCGAGAAGATCATACATTTAAAATAAAGTTCGATTTAGGATTGCAGTAAAACTTGATTTGTTTATGAGATTCACAATTATGATGTGAGTCAGCCACTGAGTTTTTATATTTATTTCTTACTAATAATTTTTACAGGCTGAACAGCAAAAACTCGCCTCCATAATCTCAGCCGAAGGCGATTCGGAAGCTGCTATTCTCATTTCTAAGGCCCTCGGTTCCTCTGGAGAAGGTATAATCGAACTTAGAAGGATAGAAGGTGCTGAGGAAATTGCCTACCATTTATCAAAAAGCAGAAACATTACTTACCTCCCCGACAAAATAAACGCGTTTATTACTTTACCTCAATAGTGTCTTCCAAATAAAAACGGTTTACGATAGATTAGCATTTGAAGCTGCTGTAATTTAATAAATAAATATACTTTGTACATTTCCGCTTTTTGGTGAATATTGCTGGTAATTGGTATCCTATTTGGTGGATAAATGTTATAGTTGCTATCAATCAAAGGTACGATATGTAGCTAAATATCACTCCCAGTCTCTTCTGAAGGAGAATTGGTAAAACTTATGGGTTCCACCACTATCTCCTCTCTATTATCCTTACTGTTTGGCAAAACAAAGCTCAAACCTTTTGTGAGCACTTTCTTGCTGGTGACGTCTAACGCTGTTTGGAGGGGTTTGTCACTTTCCCGCCAACTGTACTCTGCTACCTAGCGTCTACTCTTGGCGTATTTTGATTAACCTCAATCCTGATTCCTATACCCAAATTCTCAAGGTTCTTATCATGTCTGTAACCAACCAGTTGAAAAACTCTATCATACAACCTGTTTGCCAGTCTGTAATTTAGGGGAATCTTCCGAACAAATAAGCTAATTGTAGGTCATTCAGGCCACTTGATACTTTAGAAGTGTCGTAAACATTAGAGCATTAGAAGTTGTTTGATCTTGTTTTCGCAACTTGATCATATTGGTATAAAAACTTAGAGGAATGCATCTAGTCCGGAATCCATTGTATGTATGATCATTTCCAAAGGCGGACCGTGGACGTGGTACATTCCCAGACGGTCAGTTTTACCGTTCTTAGCATCATTGCAACTCGTGAGAGAAAAGTGAGGCCGATCCTTTGACCAAATGTATATTAAACATTTATGGTATCTTACCTTCTGCCCTGACCTATTCACATTTTCTATATCCTACACGCCTTCACTGTCACAATTTTTACTTGCTTTATTAAATGTGGTACGGTGTGCCCTTTTTTTAGCGGCTTTCATGAGAACCCTCTGCACTCCACGCTGGCCTTCTCACCCCTTCGGACAGTAGGTTTTACCAGAAACGTGGTCCATGTAGCAAAGGCATGATCATGAGACTTACTCAGAGGCTTTAGCTTCGAATTAGTCACCCAGACGTAAGGAAGGGATATTAACGCCTAGAGTAGCACAGATGGGTGACAGGGGTCGAGTGAAATGCTTGAACCAGGGAAATAGCAGACGGATTCTATGGGACAAAAGGGAGACTCTGATAAGACCTAGGGAAGAAGGACTGCGTAACAATATTTCAGACTAATCAACATTCCCAGCACAAGGATGAAGGGGGGTGGGAGGCCAGCGTGGAGTGCGGAGTGTTCTCATAAATAGCACACCGTACCACATTTAATTTAGCAAGTAAAAAGTTGTGACAGTGAAGGTGTGATAGAAGGATATAGGAAATGTGAATAGGCCAGGGCAGAAGGGGAGATACCATAACTGTTTAGTAGACTTTTGTTCAATTGATCGGCTTTACTTACTCTTTTGACGAGTTGGAATATGGTGCTACGAATGGTAAAACTCACTGACGATGCCGGCGAAACCTCTGGGAATGTACCACGTCCACGGTCTGACTTTGGAAATGATTATGCATATAATGGACTCAGGACAAGAT